GGCTCCCATGGAGGATGGGGCTTGGGTAGAAGAGGCAGGGCTGAGGGGGTTCACTCACAGCCCATGAACATGAGGGGTTTCAAGTGGTATAACGGGAGATCATGGGGTGAAGCGGAGAAAGAAGCTGGCTAATTTCCTGAACTTGGAGTCAGCGGTAGAGGACTCCTCCTGGGGACATATGCAACTAGGCCCATCCCAACCCCTACCAGTGTGTGCCGCAGGGAGCAATCCCGCGCCGAGGGGAAGACGGGCTAGATGAGACTTCACAGGGCTCCTCCGTGGTGAACCCTTCTACCCACACTGGAGATACGGAGGGGTTGTGACGCAGGCGCCAGACTGGGTCTGAGGCAACCTAGGTTCAGCTCTCGGCTCTGCCAGACGCCCTAGCGCAAATCGCTCCATGCCTCAGCGCCCTGTCTGTAAACACGAGTCATACTCCCTCTCTCTGCTCCAATTCTATTCGAAATTATTCCGGGCAGGGGCAGTCTCTTGCTTGGTCCCAGCTCCCAGACAGGGCTGTTATACAAGCAATAAATACAAGCGGATTATTTCCCCAACACCATCCCTTGTGACTCAGTGATTCTCTGAAAGTGCAGCACCAGAACAAAGTGTCAGTGGGTCATTGAGTTAGTCATCACAAGCACTGCTACTGAACAGAGCTCAACCAGGACTAGGTTCACGCCTCGCCCTCTCCCCGGCCTTCTCACCCTCGCTAATAAATACAGCTGATTTACAGCACCAGAGGGCAGGCATCCCAGGCTGGAAATACGTGATAAATGGAACCAAGACTATCAATGGGTTGGCCTCTAGCTCAACTCCAGGAGAACTTTACAGGGTTGGCCTGCACTGCTGCCTAGGGTCCAAAATGTCTCATCTTTACACCAGAAGGGACCACGGCAGGTGGCAACAGAGCAACGGGTACCCCCAAAACGTGATGCCAAGAGCTCTGACCAGCACCGGCCAGAGAGCCCCCCGACAGCACATCACGACAGCAAGGTTCTCCCTTCCCAAACAGATCTCTGTGGCAAGCTCTGCTGGGTTAGAAGCCTACCTGGGTACCAATGACAAGACTGCAGGTTTCCATGTGGGACTGGGCTCATTGGCCCCCCATCGCAGAGAGGGGCTGCACTCTGAGGACTACCCATCACCATGCTGCCAGGCACAATGTCAGCGGAGCTGAAGATCTCTCTGGCCTGCTCAGTAGAAGACCACATGATACAGTTCTCTCCCCGCCGACCCTCCAGAGCAGTGTTTCTTAAACTTTTTAAGATGGAAGAACACCAAACCTTTTTTTTTTTTTTTGAGGAACACCAAGGACTTTTTTTGCTCAACGAAAAGTGGCTGGGGAAAAGTTTTATTTATTTATTAATTTATTTATTTTGGTTCAATAAAAGGGGAAGTTATTGAGGGGGGGAAGTCACCTGCCCCTTTGAACTCTGTTCTCCACGGTGTGCCATGGAACACAGTTTAATAAACACTGCTCCAGAGCCAGTGGAAAGGCAGATGTGTTTCCTTTATTATACGGTCGTGTTTATCACCCTGTACTGGGATCCCTGGCCTTGTACATGAACGTTTTCTTGGGGCCAACATCTGGACCAGTCTGCAACCCAGGGCTGAGCAAGATGCCGCTCAGGGGCCAGATGTGGCCCACAATCTGCCCCCTTTCTATTGATACCCTGCTGCCTGGGCCACTGAATTTCCAGGCGGTGGCTCAGGCTGCAGGATCCTATTTAAATGGCTCATGGCTCCCGGTCGCAACACTACTCTGGCAGAGGCCTGAGCCGCGATGCCTTTAAATAGCCTCAGAAACCAGGCAACGGGGTAGCATCAGGGCTGGGAGCCTAGCCGGTTGCTGTGCTTTCAATTCAAAGCCTCTATACCCCAGACAACGGGCAAGTCTTCGGCCCTGCCTCTTCGGGCCCCACTTCTTCCTGGGGGTGGAGCCCGTGACCACCTACTCATTCATTAAGTGCCCCCCCAGTGGAAATTATTGCCCACCCCTGCTGTAACCCCAACTCACCAGTTTCCCCCCTACCACAATTCCAGCCTCACTCTCCCAGGCCTGTGAGTAGGTAGCAGCTACAGATAGTCCTTGGGGGGCAGGGGCCTGCTGCCCAGTGGGGTAACAACCGGATGACAATCCTGCTCTCGCTGCGATCGGACACCTGGGCTGGGCCTGGCATGGAGACGCCCCACAGGGACCTGTCCAAGCTTTCCCCAGCGCCATCTCAGCAGCCCCGGGATTCCCTGGCTACAGCGCTTGTCGCTAGGGTAGCTCCCAGTTTTCCTTGCAGGGAACCTTGGAGGGTCTCTGGCCCTGCTGCTGAGGTGAAGGGAGCAGCCTCCCACAGACATTCCCTGGGTCAAAGGGATGAGGCTGGGCCCAGAGGGAGTATTCACTGGAGAGGGAAGCAGCCAGGAGAGCAGACCAGAGAGGGAGGACAAAGCCCTGCAAGCTATTGAGTGGTACCAGGGTCGCCAACAGCAGGGGGGGGGGGGGACAAAGGGAGCAGTTGCCCTGGGGCCCAGCAATTCAAGGCCAAAACCCCAGGCCCTTTAAATTGCCGCTGGAGCACCAGACTACTCACTGCCTGCAGCTCTAAGGACCAGGGGGAGGCATGCGTGGCAGGTCTCTCTGCCTCGCCCCTTCCACCTGAAGCCCCACCCCTTCAGGAGCATGGCGCTGCCACCCCTACCTTACCCTGGGTCTCGTACAGGCCCTGGTGGGTACCCAGACCCGATGGGCATGGGCATGTTGGAACCAGGGGCAAGGGAGACTTCGCTGATAAGGGAGCAGTAATCTGCAGTGGAAAAGAAGAGATCCGGGGGCAGGTAAACCCGAAACCAGCTCAAGGCTTCAGACCCAGATCTTGGGCTAAACGTCAGTCTCATTAATGAACGTAGAGACCGGGCAAATTCAGCCGGGATTCTCAGGTTCCACGCGCTCTACTCCCCAGGTGTAAGACATTGCTGTTTCGCACCAGTCCTGAGCCAAGATCCACACAGCTACAGCTGACACGGGCCAAGAGCAGTCCATGCAGGGAACAGGACCAGAGGGATGCTGTTTGGAGATTGGAAAGGGGTGGAAAATCCCCATCCGCCACCTGCGTTGCATCGTCTGACACTCAGCATCAGAGCCCGTCTCTTCTCCTCCTACATGGGGCATCCTCCTTTTCCTGCCCTCCCCCCCTTTCCTACGGCCAGGACTTGACCAAGTGGAACACTGGGCTTGCAAACCCACCTCCAAGCATCTTTTTTGACATCTGGATCACCAGGACAGGACAGTTTTCCAGGAGGTTTGAGAGAGAGATTGATTTACGAGGAAAACGTGACAGTCTGCTTCGTTTGTCTCCCAGTGCAACAGCGGAAAACAGGCATTTCACAAGAACGCAAACATACACATGCATACACCCCTCCACATGAAACTCTCTGAATTGAAGCATATTGACCTAAAGCCAGTCCATAAAGACTGGTCTGAACCATTCCGCAATAAGCCACTGTCCCTAACATCACATCCATCTAAGGCAGAGAGCATCTTGCTGACAGTTGAGTTTGACTCTTTCCTTCTCTCCTTCCATCCATTTTATTCTCTCGGTGTCCACAGAACCTCTATGGCTTTGAGAGAAATGGACCGACCACCAATCCACCTTAGCGATCACGCAGGCTATTGTGCATTCTACATGTGAAATGTAGTGCTGACGCCTGATTTACAGCAAGCACTTCAGAGCCTTAAAGGGACAGCTGCTGGAGGGACCAGTCCTAACACATGGGTTACCTGATGCCGTGCGGCTCATGAGCCTAAAGCACGCAGGCACCCCTCGCAAATCCAACTGACTGCAGAGAGGAGTCAATTCATTAAGGAAGACGTGCTGCAACATTTGCCGATAAAAGATCACAGGCAGATTTACATTCCTGTTAAATGAGTGTGCGTCTCAGTGGCATTCCGTTTGGCGTTTTCAGTTTACGGCAGGAAACAATATAGATCATATTTTGTCTGCCTTGTACACAACAGTTTAGTTCTGCAGATTATTTGCAAGCAAACCTGACCATGGCAGTAAGCTAAAGAGTATCTATTTGATCTGGTACCAGCAACACTTGAATTTAAAGCTCCCTCAATTTCAGAAGTCCACCCCAAGCCAGTTCAAAGTATTCAAACCATTTGCAAGCGGTTTTGACATGAAGCTTTTCTATACTTACCCGGGAGGAAGTGGTGGCATTATTGATATATGTCCTGCCCTATATTAAATGTGGCTGTGGAGTTATTTATGTGCTTTTCCTGACTTCTTTTGACACGGGAGTTGATTGTAGCGTTGTGTGATTACGTCTGCATCTCTGAATCTTTCCTTCTCAGCTGGAAAGTCTCAAGTTCCAAGCTGGGATTCCCTCTCCACCCCCTTCCCACTCACTTAACCCTCCTTCTGCTGGCAGCGTTGAGTGAACACCCACAGGAAACTTTTGGGTACAGAGATTGCAGAGAAGGAAGGCTGAATTTCAGGGGAAAGGAAGATCACAGATGCACCGTTTGGGCTTCAAAAAAACTCATTCTAATCTTGAACCTTTAGGGATGTTTGTTATTGAGAATCAGAGATGTCAAGGGCTGGTTTTTTAATTGCTTGCTTTTGTCTTGAGTTGTATTTGTTATTAATCTGTAGCAACCCCCTCCCCTCTCCTCCCATTCTACGGGCTGCGACCCAGTGCTGGGTTGTGGATTGTTGGGCGCTGGGTCTCACTACAGAGAGAGGGATCAGGTGACCCGTGGGGGGTGCTAAGGCAGGTCCCTGCCTGTCCTGGCAGTACAGACTGCACCGCATCCCAGAAGCAGCCGGCCCAGCTCCTAGGTGGGATGTGGGAAGAGCGCACAGGCTCCTTGTACTGCCCCTGCCCCGAGCATCTTGCTCCTCACTCCCTTTGGCTGGGAACCTGCTGCATGGTCTGCGGTGCCATGAGAGGCAGGAAGCTTACGCCCCCTTCCCCCCCTCCCCCCGCCGCACCACTGACAAGAAGCTACTCAAGGGAAGCCCCCTCTTGCCCCAGCCCTGCTTCCCCCAAAACCGGAGCCCCCTCCTTCACCCCAAAGCTCCTCCTCAGCCCCACCCCGGAGCCCACCCTGCAGTCACACTGTTGGATCGTGGGCATCAACAATTTTCTTCAACTGGGTCATGAGAACAAAAAAGTTTGAAAGCCGCCGGCCTAGACCACCCCAAGCAAGCAACCGTGAACTGGAATTTATCACACTGCTGTTTGCACTGGGGTGAAACTCCCCCCAGCCCGACTCAGGGAGGGACCAGCAGCCCCCCCGTCTCAAGTGTCATGGACTGGGACAGGGCCACTGCTGCTGCCACCGGCATCTGGGTCTGGAGCAAAAGGCTGTTAGTGGCAACCGCACAACCCTGCAGCAGCCTGTGAAGAGCCGGGGGACCCTTTGGGGGCACAAGACACACGTGGGGGGAGGGGACTTGGGCACGTGCCCAGCACGTGGGGGGAGGGGACTTGGGCACGTGCCCAGCACGTGGGGGGAGGGGACTTGGGCACGTGCCCAGCACGTGGGGGGAGGGGACTTGGGCACGTGCCCAGCACGTGGGGGGAGGGGACTTGGGCCCTCTGGATGCTAGAGCGCCCACTGAGACACTAACCGCAGCCCCCCCCCCAGAGACCTGGCACCAGCCCCCCCCCGCAGCCCCGCGCCCCAGGGCCG